GTTAGGGGATCGTCTTATACGCCCAGTCGTCTTATACGCCGGCAAATACGGTAAACTAAAACTATCATAGTTTCAATTATAAAATTTTTAAAGGATATTATTCACATAATGGTGATTATGTAAAAATATATTTATGGCTCTCGAATAATTTTTAAGTTGTTGTGAGGGACAGGATTGGTTCTTCCAGGGGTCGGCAAACTTTTCAGATGGAACGTACCCAAAGAGCTGCATGTGGCTCGTTGAGCCGCAGTTTGCTGACCCCTGGTCTAAACCAACACAGATATATTATCTTATAACACTGAGCATCAGATAACCAAAATCGTCCTCACTGAGCTAAAATCAGGATATCAGCAGGGTTACATTTCTTCTGGAGGCTCTCAAGGAGAACCTTTTCCAGCGTAAGAGGTTGCCGACATTCCTTGGTCCATGGCCCCTTCCTCCAACTTCAAATCCAGCAGTGTGACATCTCTCCTCTCTGCACTTCAGTCCTTATATCTTGTCTCTCTGACTCTGATCCTCTGGCCCCCTCTTATAAGGACTGATGTGATTACATTGGGACCACCCAAGCAATCACGGATAATCTCCCCATCACAAGATCCTTAGCTTAATCACATCTTGTAAAGTCCCTTTTACCAGGTATGATCATATATTCACAGTTGCTAAGAATTAGGGGGTGGATATCTTTGGGGGTGGGGATGGCATTATTCAGGCTACCACACTGCTCAACATAGAGGAAGATATTTATAAAGGTTTCTGTAGTTCATTTACTTAATTACCATTTCTGCTTAGTGTGCTCATATTTTAAATCTTAAAGGAAATAAAAAATTTAGCCAAAACATTCCTTTTTCTTTTTCTTTCCAATATTTGGGTCCCCTACTAATCACCTGAAACTAACATTTGTGGCAGATATGAACATGCACATGAGCAGCTGATAAATACAGAAATATGTGATTTACATTGCCAGCTCAATCTCTTCTTGTTAAGCCTTGAAAACTTGACATTTGAAAGAGAAAGACTGTGTAACAATTCCGTTTTGGAAAATATTCTTCCAATTTAGGAACACAGTATTTTACAAGTTTCCAAACATCCTCTAATCAAGCTTTAAAACAGGGCATCAAACACAGAAAAGGGGGTTCCTTGGAGAGGAGAGTGACAAGGGTTTTCCAATTCTTGACATGCTCTTTGAGAAACTAATTAAACAGAAAAAAAACAAGTAAAGGCCTTTCTGAGTAGAAACAGTTCCAATTGCTTCAACAGATCACTGAACAAAAGTGAGCAACTACTCACTGAAATTCTGCCTCCTAGAAGCACCTCCAGTGCTCTCTTGCTCATAGAAAAGTCTGTAATATTAACCAGCTTTACAAAGGCTTTACAAAGCCTGGAGCCACACCCAAATAGCTCAGTGTTGGGGGCACGTGATCCTCACGTGCGATTTGCCCAGGTGACTTCCCCAACATTGTACAGGTGGCCCAGGGGTTCCACCCCCAACCCCCACCATGTTCCAGCATTCCTGCTTCCCTGCTGTTGGACTACTGATCTCCAGTATGTTTCAAGAACTTCTGTATACCTTAAGTTGGTTTTAAATAGCTTGATATGTTGACATTGGCATGGGTTCAAAATCCTTATCTGAAAATCTTGGTGGCAAGCGTATTCAGAATTTTTGGATTTTAGAGAGGAAACGCAGACTAAATATATTAAGTTTAACACCCCAGGCCCCACACATCTGAGTCAGTGCCCCTTAATATTTCTGTAGTAAAATATATAAATGTTCTCATCAAGCAGAATAAACTCAGGGGATAAAAATAAATAAATAAATAATAAAACAACTTTCACATCAATTCAGGTCAGCTTTTGCTGCCACATTGGTTTTAGAACTAAACTTGCTAACAAGGATTCAGTATTCAGAGCCGTTTTGGACTTTAGAATTCCAGGACCTCTATTACGAGCTGGTAGGTTGTTTACGGTTTCATTCTGTTTTTAATTTTTCTGTTGTTTATCAGCCAAATGGAAGCTCAGTGAAAACTCCAAACTCACAGAACCAAGGATTAGAACAGAGGACAGAGTTGGAGTGATGTAGTGCATCCACTTCATTTTACCAACAGGGCAATTATAGCACAAAGCATAGAAGTGGTCCTGTGAGGCTGTACATGGGTCTAGACTAGATACTCAGTTTTTGACATCAGACAGACCTAGGTTGAACTCAGCCGTAACTAAAGTTGTCATCTTGGCAAATTCATGCCCAGCCTTACACCCAGGTTACCACGATCCCCTCTATTGAGAGAAGGCCTCACTTACAGAGCTGTTAGGAGATTCCATCAGCAAACGTGGGTATAAGGCAGGCACAGTGAGTTCTCATACTATATGCTAAAGGCAACCATTCCTACCCATAGAGTAACTTTTATGATTCCTATTGACCTAATTCAACTAAATCCAGTAAATGTTTACTGAATTCCTTGCTGTGAGACACTGGACTAGATCTCAGGGGTGAACATGGCAGAACCATCTCCTGTTACACTGGAAGCAATTTGCAATTTGGGGGATTGTCTTATATCTATGTTATGAATACTGAGCGCAGTCCCTGACACACAATAGACACATAAAATACATTTACTGAACTGAATTCACTCAAGGTGCTTATAGTCTATCAGGGAATATAAAAACAAGAGTGAAGAATGTTAGAACTACCCTAAGAGGTTTACAAAGTGCTATGGAAACAGGAAAAAAAAAGATCTCTTCCATCTTGGAATAAGGTAGCTGTAAAGAAGAGGAAACGTTTGTGCTGGGACTTAACAGGACAGTATGTGCATAGGAAGGAAGAGCTTAAGAAAACTCCGACCGAGGTGGAAAATTGTGTAGTACATTTAATAAGTGGCGGGTTATGTGCTCAGGGAACTGCATGGGTCGTACGCATGAGAGAATTTCAGCCTGTAATGAGTCAGGGGTGAGTTAAGACAAAGTGAAATAAAATACAGAATGATATATGGAGGAATGTATGTTGAGGCATGGGGATGGGGTTACTTTAAATATGTATATATATACGTGTGTGTGTGTGTGTGTGTGTGTGTGTGTGTGTATCTTGCTTTGTTTTTAGCAGGCGGTGATGCAAGCCAAATGACTTGGGCCAAGCTCTAGGAAAGTTGCTGTGGTAGCATTCTGTAAAAGGATTCAAGGACAAAGACAGAGAATGAAAAAGTAGGTGGACCTGTCAAGGGTGTACCAAAAAGTCCTTGATGAGAATGATAAACATCAACTAGGGCAGGGGCAGACAAGATGGCTAGGAGGGGAGATGCTAAAGAGACATAAGTAAAATGGATCATATTTGGCAACCAATTCGATGTAGAAAGCAGAGGAAAGAGAAGATTCAAAGGTCACTCTTAGTTTTTAGACCTCGGGGGTATGATGGTGCCAGAGAAGAAAGGGAACAGAGGGTGGATTAGGGAGGAGGAAGATTGTACACTCAAGACTTGCTAACCTAGTGTTGTTGCAGTTTGGGGGAGGCTACTCTCAGGCTACAGGCTACATGTGGGTTCATGAGTTGCAGTTCCATGTCACAATGTGGAGATGACCCCACTTGACAGAAAAGGAGCACTGCAAATGCACAAGTCTATGCACAAGAAATTGTTACCATAGGTTATTTTTACCATGCACAAAATCATATCATTTGCTCAAATGGAACTATTTAGTATCAATAAAGCCTTTAGGCTGGAAGGATGCTGAGGCAAACAGGTGCCTTCACTCAGGTTCCCGCAAGTGCCCATCTTGTACTTGCGAGACCCTGAGAGTGATACCTCCTTAAAGTTTGCACCTCAGACACCTCTCTTGCCTCATCTCATCCCAACTCTAGGAGTAGTGTGACGTCTTTTCCAGGACAAAGTAGCAATAAAGGTTGTTTATGAAGAAGCCATTATGTTGTAGTGCAGGGGTCAAAAAACTTTCCTAGAAAGAACCAGATAGTAAATATTTCAGACTTTACAGGCTATATGCTCTCTGCCCCTAACTACTCAATTCTGCCATTGTAGTGGGGAGGCAGGCGTAGACAACAAGTAATGATTAGGAATGACAGTGTTGCAATAAAACTTTATTTACAAAAATAGGTGGCAGGCCAAAGGTGGCCCTTAGGTCACAGCTTGTCAATCCTGCTGAGTGGGAGGAGGTAGTCAGACCTTAGGTTTAACTTCCAGAGACACATTTTACAAAATATCTGGATTTGGACATGTATCTCTGTAAAATGTGATAATTATACCTTTTAGAAAATGTATGCTATTTATATGCCTCATAAATAGCAGTCTTTCAAATAGGTCAGTGATCTTTTTAATTACAAGGCATAATACAAATAATAGCTAACACTTATTGAATTATTTTATCATATACCAGCTAATGTGAAAAGATTTTGCAAAGATTCTTTCATTTAATCTTCCAACAACTCTCTGAAATAGGAACTATTATAATATCCTTTTCTACTTGTGGGTAAACTGAGGCACCAAGAGATGCCCAAGAGATGCTTACACAGATAGTAAGTGATGTAGCCAACACCTAACCCCAAGTAAGTAGACTCCAGGTGCCTTGGTGCTAACCTGTCTGTAGTTAACGAGCTCCATTAATTCAGCTCCTATTGAAATGCTCAGAATTGTCTCAACTTGTCCAGGCTTTTCATAACTCATCACAGTGCAACACAACTGCAAATAATTTATACACAACTTTAGGAAATTCACTTTCAGGTTAACACTCAAATAACATCTTATATAAATACAACCCTTATTCCAACCTTTCTCCTGCTCATCGATTTGTCCTCTCCCAACAAAAATCTTCAGTGAAGAGAAACCAGAGTATTATTGAGAAAGCTCATGCAAACCCATTTCAAAAAATTTATCCCATAATCACTCTAAAAATTTGCAATTTCAAAGCTACACTGCAGAATAACATACTGGATTAATTATGCCAGGCCGTGGCAGTAACCTTGAATTAAAGCTGCAACCTTCTATTTTTTAAGAAACACTTGCCTTTCTGGTTGATGAAACCTGTCGTCCCATCAGGTAACAGACGTGACCAGGAAAGAGAGAAGCGGTAATGAGTCAATCCAAGCTGTTTGATACATTTCAAATCTTCCTCCCACAGAGTGTAGCTGCCACAAGCTACATCGCCAGTCTGGTTCTTGAAAACTCTCTCTCCTCCCTGATGGGTGAATGTGTCCCAGACACTAGGGCCTTTTCCATCTGCATCCCAGCCTCCTGAGAAAAAGAAGAAAACAAAACAGTTGTGCTCTTGACATCAAGAGGCCTATGTAGAATGTAAATATTTGTCGCCCAAAGAACATACCTCATTAACTCAATGTGCCATATTTATAACTTTAAAATGTGCCTTTAAAAGAACATGCATGAGTGGGGTTATGTGTTTAGCTGTTCTTGATCCCTGAAGCTGACTGGTAGCAAATGAAAAATGATTGCCTGGTGCTGCCATGCAGCAGGATTTCATGGCTCATTATCTGAAGATCTCCAGGCTGGTAAACAGAGGCAGGCCCCAGCTTATGAATGTCTGCGCTGAAAACATCTCCTCATGAATATTTCTCTTGGCCATGACTGACTGCCCTTGTTCTTGAGGTACATGTCCAAGTCTCAGAACCTTATCAAGGCCCTCTACCCTTGACCCCTATTCTCCTGTCATTTAATAATGGAGCCTGTGATGGTCCAGTCAATTATCTGTGGGTAAAATGCTGGTTCCCACCATTGCTGGGAGGATGTTAGTGCCCTACATTCATTCCTTCATAATGCTATGTGTCAGGCACCATGCTGAGCACAGGGGACACCAGTGTGAACTCTGCTTGCTTCCTGTCCTTGGGGAATTTAGCTACAGGCAATTGCAAAACAGCCACAAAGGCCTTTGCAAGTAAACTGGGAGGGGCATTTATCCAGATATGGACTAGAGTCAGAGGTCTCTTAGAGAAGGGACTTCTAGAATGAAACCCAAAGGAAAAGTCAGATCATCAAGGTGAATGGCTGGAAGGTAGGAATGGGAGCAAAAGAGAGAAAAGAAGAGCTAGGATTCAACTAAACCCAGAGGTGAGAGAGAGTGTTGCCCATGAGAGGAACAGCAAGTAAAGGTTATACTAGATTTGGAATAACTGTTCCCATAGACATTTTGTTTAAAGACGTAGTTAGAATCCATTTTACGGTATAGAGGATTAATTTTTTAAAGCTCATGACTCCCTAACTCCACTTCTAGGTGCATACTCTGGAGAAACACTCATATATTTTCACAAAGAAATTATATGAGATTATTGAAGCAGAGAAGTCTATAATAGAAAAATCCTGGAAACGGCTTGCATTCTATCAACAGCAGAGCAGATAATTAATTTGAGGTGTATCCATAGAGAGGAAACACACTAATCAACAGTTAAAATGAATAAATCTGAGCACAGATGTCCCTCTGCTATGGTCTGAATGTTTGTGTCCCCCAAATTTGTCTGCTGAAATCCTAATGCCCGGAGCAGTGATATGAGGAGGTCGGCCTTTGGGAGGTGCTTGGATCGTGAGAGCAGAGCTGTCCTGAATGACATCAGAGCTCTTATCAAAGAAACCCCAGAGAACTCCCCAACCCTTCAACCATGTGAGGATACAAAAAGTCTGTGATGCGAAGGAGGGGCCCTCACCCAGCCATGCTAGCTATCTGGTCTCGAACTTCCAGCCTGCAGAACTATGAGAAATACATGTTTGTTCTTTACAAGCCACCTAGTTTATGGTGTTTTATTATAGCAGCCTCAATGGACTAAGATACCCTCAAAACTATAATGTTAAACAACAACGACAAAGTCAAGATTCAAAAGAATATACATAGGAACGAATAAGTGGAAAATACAAGATGTTTAGGGCAATGAAACTATTGTATTGGGTTGTCGGAAAAGTCATGACGCATTTTTGCAATGAAAAACAGAAAAAAAATATGTCATGACTTTTCCGACAACCCAATATATAATACTGCAATGGTGGGTACACATCATTACAAATTTGTCAAAACCATAAATGGTAACTTTCATTAATAATGTATCAATATTCTTTCATCAGTTTTAACAAATGCTCCACACTAATGCAAGATGTTAATAGTAGGGAGATATTAGGGGAATGGGTTACCTGGTAACTCTCTGTACTTTCTGCTCAATTTTTCTATAAACCTAAAATTGCTCTATAATATACTTTAGTTTACCAATTAAAAAAATAAATATGTAATATGTTTATCATGTTTTGTATATTGAAAAATATGTAAAACAATCCACATATTTTTCTGAACATATAAACATGAAGTAAACATACAGCAACACACCTGGGAGTTATTATATAAAATTAGGCTAGTGGTGACATTTAATTTCCAGAGCCCACCATCAACCATTATACCACATGGGAAAAACTAAATAAATCAAAAAGAAGGCAAGAAAATCAGAAAGAAAAAAACATATAAATGGTAGGACAAGGTATAAATGATTACTTATAACAATACGAGTGACTGGACTAAACTCCCCAGATAAAAGAGAAATATTGTCAGACTAGATTTTAAAAAAACTCACTGATATGTTGTTTACCAATCCATTTAAGATATAAGAATATACAACAATTGAAAGTCAAAATATGGATATCACTGCCCCCCTCAACCCCCCAAAAAGCAAAATAGTCCCAGGGGAAAAAGCATTACAGAAGTTAACGTGCATCACTACGTAATGACAATACTGTCTTAAATGTGTGTGCACCTAAGAATCTGGTTTCAAAATATGTGAAGTAAAACTGACAGAACTGAAAAGCAACACTGACAAACCCACCTTATAATGGAAGATTTAAATTAATGTGAGTTCTACCAAACACTTAAAAAACAAACAAATACTGTTTCTCTTCAGAGTGAAAAAAATGGCAGATATTAACAAGGTTGATCTAACTGATATAAACAATGACACTGCACAATAATGAATACCACAATTATAGAATATACCCCATTCTTTTAAAGTAGACAAAAACATTGTGAATATTGAGTACCAGCTGGTCCATAAATAAAGTCTCCATAAATTTCAAAAGGTGGGAGAAATGCAGATGACAATCTATAAAACATTGTGTTAGGGTTCAATATCTAAAGAATATTAGAAAGTTCAGAAGTTTGAAAAGGTACCTCTGAACAACTTAAGGGTTAAAGAAGGCATAGTAAGTCATCAGAAAATATTAGAAACTAAATTAAAACAAATAAATATTAAAACATTGTGGCATCTAGTTTAAGTGATATTTACAGAGAAAGCTTTAACACATGTATTAGAAAAGAAGCAAGCATCAGAGCTAATGAGCCAACTATTTCATTTAAAAGTTGTAAAGAAGAAAGAGGAAAAGGAAGAAAGGAAGAGGAGGAGGAGGAGGAGAAGAAGGAAGAAAACAGAAGGTGACACAAATAGGAGAAAAAAATAAGGTAAGATCAGAAATAATAAAATAGAAAACAAATCAGGATAGCGAGGATTACCAAAGGCAAAAGGTAGCTTTTAGAAAAGCCTAACACAATAGAGAAAGCCTTGCAAAATAATTTTTTTAAATGTGAGAAAAAATTTTAAAGTAGGTATTAGTCATGCAAAGGGAAACATAGCTACAGAAAGTGCAGAGATTATACTGATGAAAGAGTATATTATTTTTAAAACTTTATAAAAACATGCTCAAAAAGTTATATGGAGATGACAAATTATAGGAAATTAAAATATCAAAATTGGCTCAAGAAAAAGTAAAAACCTTGAAAGTTCTTTTAACAATTTAAAAATGAATCAGTAGTTAAAATGTTTCACAAAGACAAAGCCATGCCAACTGGCTCTACAACTGAGTTCTATTACACATTTTTTAAACAAAACCTCTACTCTTGCACAAGTTATTCCAAAAAATAAAAAAGAATTTCTCAACCTATTTTCTGTGGCTAGAATGTCCTTGTTTCCAAACCAGAAAATAGCCCTATCAAAAAAAAATTTGAGCCAATATCACTCATAAACATAGATGCAAAAGTAAGTAGAGGCATGGAAGATTTGGGGGAAAAAAGATCAAAATTGAACTTCAAGAGGAAAAAAAACAAAACTGCAATGACTAAATGAAGAAGGCACCAGCTGGGATAAATAGTAAATTAAAAGATTAAACATTGCCAAAGGAAAGATTAATAGACTTGAAGACATAGCAACAGAAACTCTCTAAAATGAAACACTGGAAAAAAACAAAAACAAAAACAAAAAAACCCCTCAAAATATAAAGAGGATCAGTGACCTATATATAGGGCACCTTTAGTCAGCTTAATATACATGTAATCAGAAGCTCCAAAGGAGAACAAAGGAAGGGCACAGAAAAAACACTTGAAGAAATAACAGTTGAAATTCTTTTTAATGTGATGAAAACTATAAACCCTAAAATCCAAAAAATCAATGAACCTCAAGCACAAAATAAAGAAAGAAAACTACGCCAAAGCATATCATAATCAAATTAGTCAAAATGATGACCGGGAAAATCTTCAAGTTTCCAGAGGCAAAGGACATAATGTCTAGAGAAACAAAGAAGAATACAGTAGATGTGTTGTCAAAAACAATGCAAGCAAGGAAACAGTGGACTAGCATCTTTAAAATAATGAAAGGGGAAAAAAAATTGTGTCCAACTATAATTCTATACCCAGCAAAATATATTTCAAACATGAGGGCTAAAGACTTTTTCACACATACAAACGGTCAAAGAATTCATCACCAACAAACCCTCACTATAATACATTAAAGAAAGTTGTTCAGGCAGGTGACAATGTACATCGGATGGAAGCACGGATCCACATAAAGGGAAGAAGAACACAAAAATGATCACTATATGGGTAAATATGTAGGATTTTCTTTATTAAGTTAAATCTCTTTAGTCAATAATTTATTGTTTAAAGAAAACTAATAACAATGTAGTATAGTATTTATAACATGCAAGTATAAAAGGTATGGCAACGGTAGCACATAGAGCAGGAGGGGAGAAATGGAAACTCTAAGAGTCTTCGATTATATGGAAGGACAATAACATTGTGTTTAACAAAACAGTCTTTGATTACACGTGAAGTGGCACAATATCACTTGAAGGTAGGCTTTAACAAATTAAAGATGCATAAATCCTACAGAACTAAAATAGCAAAGCAAGGATTTATAGCTAGTAAGCCAGCAAAAAATATATCATGGAAATATAAAAAAACAACTAATCTAAAAAAGACAGAA